GAAAAAGTTTTAGAAATCTCCAAAACAGATGTAATCAGATCAACAGCTTAATCCAGAGCTGTATTCAGAACCGTACCCAAAGTAAAAGAACGGAACCTGATTCTGGATCCAGAACCGATTCCAGACTAACAGAATTGAACCCAGAACTGGATCTAATAGAAGTGATCTAATCCAGAAAAATTTACCCAGAATGGTTCCTGAACAACAGCTGGATTTCTGAAAATAACTCAACAGAACTTAGAGTTTCACCCAGAACTGGACCAAGAATAGGAGAACTGGATTCGGTTTTGGACCTAAAAACCTGAATGAAGGTTGATAAAACTTTTAGAAAAGGTATCTGGACTAACAGAACTATATGAATTAAAGGATTGTAAAAAAAAAAAAAAAAACTATTCAGCCAGAGATAAATGCCAACACTCATTTGGGTTCCATAAAAAAACTTAAAAGAATCATATCTAAACTACCAAGTTTTAGTGTTAAATTGAGAAACAGGGAAACGTTTTTCACGTTTTATTTTCAAGCACAAACATCAGAGAGCAGCATGTGGGTCTGTCTGTCGAGCCTCAGGTTAGAAAAATAATGGCTGCATGTTCTCCTGCAGACTGGTTCTCCTGCAGACTCGTTCTCCTGCAGACTGGTTCTCCTGCAGACTCGTTCTCCTGCAGACTGGTTCTCCTGCAGACTGGTTCTCCTGCAGACCCGTTCTCCTGCAGACTCGTTCTCCTGCAGACTCGTTCTCCTGCAGACTCGTTCTCCTGCAGACTCGTTCTCCTGCAGACTCGTTCTCCTGCAGACTCTGGTTTCCTGTTTTTTTCCAGATAAATTCATCAGATCTGAGCTTCGATATGAAACAGAAAAACTGGCCATAAAAAAAAAAAAAATCTGTGTTTCGGCTTTTCTTGGTCACAGTCTGTAGTAGAAAGTTTTATTAACGGGTCGGTGTTTGATGGTCTCAGCGTGCGTTCAGGACGGACTGCAGGTCTTCAGGCAGTGACCCCACTATGGAGCTTATGAAAGCGTCCAGTTTGTCTAAAACTCCATCTTTAACTTGTAGATGCTGCCGGCGAGCTCTGACCTGGAGAAACGGGCGTGGAGACGACGTTTACAGGCAGATACACCCAATTCAAAACTCCAGATCCGATTCTCTCACCAGTTTTTCTCTGAGCTTCAGGATCAAGTCCACGATCTCCACCTCGGACTTGTCTTTGGTCCAGCCCAGCAGGTCCTGCTCAAGACACGGCGTGGCGGTTACAGGACGGAAACGTATCAGAAGGACTCGGATAGCCGAGGGGAGGAAAGCCACTCACTGCGTCACAGATGGTCTCCAGGTGGAGGCTCTCCAGCTTCTGCGTCATCTCTCTGTGGCGTTGACGGTACCAACCGTCAAAGTTGGGGGACCTAAAAAACTTCCTGCCAGAAAAAATCAGGCGATTTCCTTACTTATTTTTCCAGAATGTGTATAAACCATTTTAAATTGAGCAACTAACTGAATATTTTGTGGAGCGGCATCATGTCAGGAATGCTCCACACATGGACCAACAACTGAACCACCCACCTGCCTTCCTACAGCTTGGTTCCAGTGTGACTCACCTGTACAGACCCATCCAGTCACCGCGCAGCATGGAGGTGAGCTGAGGGCCGGTGTGATCCAGCGTGGAAAGGAACTCCTCCTGACTGAAGGGACGGACCTGCGGAGGAGTCTGAACAAAACAGCCGAGTCAAGTCGATCGTTTGACCGTTAGAGATGTGAGCTGAGAACGAACCCACCTTCCAGGGCGTGACGGATCTCTGCAGAGGCATCAGGCTCGCCATGTAACGCTCCTGTCGCACAAAACTCTGGGATTATTTACAGTTTTCCCAGCAGGATTCCTCTCCTCTGTGTCCTTTTCCTTACCAGAGGAATGATGAAGCTCTGTGTGAGTTCCAGCAGGTGTCTCCTCAGGATGGCGCTCTGAGCCTCTGATGGTCTCTTCCTCTGGATTCCCTGCAGACATGGATAAAAATAAAAAACCAACACTGAGCTGCTGGTTCTTAATCCGCCCTCAGGTCAACGTGGACGATGCTCACCTTCAGCAGTCTCTTGATAAGAATTTTGTCTTTGTGTAGAAATGGTTTATACGCCGTGTAGATCCCTGCAGACGCAAACAGGTAGAGCAAGCTGGAGGTATGAACAGCCGCTGCAGAAAGACTAGCTAGGTCACCTTACCTGGTTTGGTGTCGAGGGTTTTTAGTTTGGACAGCTTCTTGACCTTCACCTGCTTGGGAAGGTCGCCTGAACACGAGCAGATATGCAAATTTAACAACAGCGAAAACAGGACAGATTGAAGCTATTACCCCATTTACACTACCGGTCCACGCCGAGACCGGTCCCAGTTTGGATCAGTTCACCAGGCCCAGCTCGGTTCTGACCACCGTTTACACATCACGCTATCTCAGTTCCTCCACTCCTCGCCTCCTAGTGACGATCTGCGGTATTACTGCCAGTATTGAAGGAGGAAATCAAGCAGTTGGTGGGGGTAATGCACCAAAAGGTGTTTGCCAACCGCCAGAAAACACAAGAAGAAGAAGACGAAGAAGGAGGGAATCGAGCAAATCAAAATGGCGGCGCCCGTCACATTCAGAAAGTTATGCTTCATTATTACTGCTGTACTTCGGTGTTATTGTTTAAAATGTTGTGTGGAGAAGATTTCGATTGTTGTTTATAGTTAAGGGAGGAAGTTTTTCTTCTCATGTTTCTGTAGGGGCATTACCGCCACCTACTGGAATGGAGTGTGAATCGCGATGTGCAGCCAGACGGAGATGATGCGTTCTGTTCATGCGCTCTTGTTATCAGAGAACCGATCCGAGCCCACCTCTGGAACTCGTCTGCAGTTAGCTCGGTCCGGTTGCGTCTAGCTCGGTCTGGTTGCGTCTAGCTCGGTCCGGTTGCGGCTAGCTCGGTCCGGTTGCGGCTAGCTCGGTTCGGTTGTGGCTAGCTCGGTTCGGTTGTGGCTAGCTCGGTTCGGTTGTGTCTAGCTCGGTTCGGTTGTGTCTAGCTCGGCCCGGTTGCATCTAGCTCGGTCCGGTTGTGTCTAGCTCGGTCCGGTTCAGTTTGCTTTCCATTTACACACGATAAGTTCTCTCAGTTACCGAGCTCGGACTGGTCTCGGCACGGTTTTTCAAGGGTAGTGTAAATGGGGTAAATGAGAAACAGATCCAGCTGGACGTCACAGAGAAGCATAGCCTACCTGCCATCTTAATTTCGCCCAACCGGACGATGTGAGGCCAGTTCTGAAAAGCCTTGATGAAGAACGGGTTGGTGACCCCCAGAACCACGTTTGGACTGAAGAGGAAACAGACAAAGCTACTGTAGATACAGACGATCCGAATCAGTTTCTGGGCGTTTGATTGTTTAGACTTACGGAGCCTGTGTCCTGGTGGTGTACTCTCTGAACTCGCAGTCATGGATGGTGAAATACGGTCGAAAGTCACAGCAGAACTTCAGAGGGCTTATAGCGCTGGACGTATAATAAAAAAATTAATCTGTTACCATGACGATATAAACCGGGCTCAGCGATTATCCTCCAGGCTGAACTACCTGATCAGAGCCAGTACGGTCTCTGAGCAGACCGTCGGAGACGGTGCCATGATGACCAGCGGCTCCCCCAGCAGCGCCAGCTCCCACAGCATCTGCAGGTGAATCAGAACCAACTGGAAACACCTGAGAAGGATACAGGGGAGGATGAGGAGCCCTTACTGCTGAGAACGACTCGTTTCTCCACGGGGAAGCAGCACTAACCTAAAGAGGTCCAGTTCATGGAGGGTTGGCAGCAGCGTTGGAGCTGGCAGGAGGTTCTAAAAGGAAAAGCTCTATATGACTAACAGAAGCTGGGGGGCGGGATCAAAGAGAGAAACGAACTCTGACCTCCTTAGTCATCTGCCTGACTGGACTTCCTCCTGGTTTGTCACTTTTTGAAGGAATTCTTATCTAAAACACAAACAAATATCTTTTTCTGAAGGGTAGATCGCCTCCATTTTGTTAGCCACCCCCCCGCTCTGCTCACCTGCACACCAAACCCTTCCCCCACTGACCTACCTGTAAGAC